CACGAGACGTTATTGTGCTTCTATTGTGAAAAGCCCGGGGAAGTAGTTTTGTAGTGGAGTTGAGTTGACTGGTGTGCAAGGTGAGTCGTCTTGTTAAGCTTTATTAAATAACATAAAACTAAATAAATTTTGTAACTGATTAATTGAATATTGGATTCAGTCTTGTATTTTATACTTTGATGATTTCAGCTTGTAAGGTTAAAACAGACAGAGTTGGTGTGTGTTATCATGTGTTCTTTCTCTTAGCCTAAACCAAACTGAGTACGTTCTGACGTCTGACGTAAAAGGTAACAGCTCCAAGGGTGGAACCAGGAAGATATGTACATTATAAGCTCAATTCATTATTATAGTAGTAAGAAGTTGTCAGTGTTTGCAGAGTGTCTGCACAGAGCAGAGCTCCTGTGCTTGTTTTGATTCAGCCCAAGGTCTGTCTGAGGCCTGTGCTGCTGAGCGCTGAATGTACCTGGTTGGAGTCAGAAGATTGAAAATAAAGTTTAAACAAGAAGTCCAGCTGGATTCCTGTTTATTTGAGTAAGGGGTCTCTGCAGTAGGTTTTGTCCTGTGGGCGGAGATGGCCCTACTCGTGACTGGCGGAGGTAACAATGTGGGCAGAGATGGCCCAAGAGATGTGATTGGTTGGATTGGCGGTGGGGTTTGAGGCTGGAGGCAGCAGGGAGTAGCTTGATGGAGTCAGGCAGGAAGCAACAAGTTTTTTAAGATTAATTTTAGACATAACTTGAGAAAGGAAAGCGCTAGCTGCACAAAATTTGAACGCCGTACATGTGAAAGGATGTGCAACAATATGGCTCAGTTAAAGTGGGCCTATTATGCAAAACTCACCTTTTTCATGTTTTTAAACTTATTTTTGGGTCTCTACTGCTTAGAGAAACAGTCCAAACACCAAAAAAAAAAAAAATGCATCCAGCTGTATTTTTTAGCTGTAATTACATGTATTTTTATGTATCTGGAAACATGGTATTTCTCAAAGCACGTTATTCTGACGTCACAATAACAGTCACCTAGCAACCTAAACCAGAGTCCTGCTCCTCACGAGGCAAGCCGAGGTGAAGCTCCGCCCACTTCCTCAAAAGACGATAGTTGTTCTGTTTTACAGCAGCCATGGAGAACAGAGATGCCTGGATTAATTTTATTTTTATCTTTGATGACAATGTTCTAACAGTATTGCCAAAGAAAGCTGTAGTTTGTGAAAAATAATTTCACTTTGGAAACTTCTACCATGTCGGGGGGCGGAGCTAAAGTAAACAAACGGATAGGGGGAATAGGGGAGG